TCTCCGCAGCCCCTGCGCCCCGCGGCCCGGCCGCCGGCTCGGCCTGGTCCGATTACCTGCGCCTGCCCCTGCACCCCAAGAGCCTCTACGTCATCCGCCAGTACCTGCACGACGGGTACGGTCTGGCCCACAACGGGAGCGTAGTTTTACCTTCAAGTTAAAATTAAGAAGGGACAGAGTAAGCTCCCCCTGCCCTTTTTCCTCCCAGGGAGTGTGGCTGCCTGGAAGCCTTCGGACAAGGCGAAAGTCTCCTGCAGGATCCTGGCTGCGCGGAGGAGGTGGAAGATCGGCTGCATTTCTATGCCGAGGAGTGCGACCAGCTGCAGGTTGGACAGCTTGGACAGCTTGGTCCAAACTCCCTTTCAAGAAGCTTTCTGTTCAGCAGAACCGCAGCTGCTGCCGTGGTTTCACACAGGGGTTTCAAGTCCTCTGCGACCTGCACAATGGATTCTCCGGCGTTGGGGCCAAGGTGACAGAGCTGCTCTACGATGAGTACGCGGGAAAAGGAATCCTGACCTGGGGCCTGACCCCAGTCACCAGCAACGTGGGAGTAAGCGAACAATGGGAAAACCCAGGAACAGGCGATGCTCTCGCGCCTGCTCTGGATCAGACCCTTTCTTGTTTGCAGCTTTCAGACTGTAAGAGCTGGATTTTTCCCCCCCAGGATTCTCCGAAGAATCTCTACCGCCTGATGAACACAGCCCTCGGCATCGTCCACCTCTCCCGGCACAGCTCGCTCTTCTGCCCGCTGTCGCTCAGCGGGACCCTGGGACTCAAGCCCCAGGCGCCCGTTACGTTTCCGTACATAACCTGTGACGTAGGTGTGGGGTAGGGTGCTCTGGGACCGCCGCTTTCAGCCTTCTCGGATTTACCACTCCCGCAGCGTTTGCTGCAGCTGTGTAGTTTTAGCCCTGCTTTTCATTATGCTGTTCTGCTGAGCAGAACAGACTTCTTTCCTGCTTTTTCACTGTTAGCAGAGACTTAATGGCCAACTTTTCACTCCCGTAGTTTTTTCATACTTTTAAAAATCTCAATGCATGTCCCTTTCTGCCGTTTTTCTGTGAGTGCCTTCAGTTTCGGCACTGAACAAAACGCTTTACCGCGTCAGTCTTCGTGTGTCGAGTACGAACTCCAGCCTTGCCTGAGCACGGAGAAGCTGCAGGCAAGAAAAGTGGCACCAGCTGATTTGCTGTCCACGGCCCCAGACAAACACAACCTGTATAAAAGCACAACTTACAACAGGCTGAAGTTCCATATACAAAAATCAGTTACGGAACAGATGAATTGAGCTTGTCCTGTAACTCTTCCCTTTCCTCCCTCCGTAGGCCTCGCTTAACTACCACAGCAGCGCGATTCTGGCAGCAGCGCTCGATACCCTCACTGCTCCGTACCGGCTCTGTTCCTCTCCGGGCTCCATGATGCACCTCGCCGAGACGCTGAACTTCTCAGGGAGAAAGGCAAGGGCAGAGAGAACGGCGGCCTCCAAGCC